GGGTAAATTGTAGGCATTGTGGTTAAGGAGAAATGCAGTAGTTAATTTGTGTAAAGAGGCACAGTTCTGTTTAGCACGTAGGCTTTCGCGAACAAAATTATCCATAATAGAGGGTTTTTTTTGGGTTAGATCGCGTAAATCTAAATGTGTCGTTAAACCCTCCACCACCTGACACAGCCAATTAGGATGGTTTGTCACGTAAACAAAACATGCCAATTCTATAATAGTTCAGCACACCGGTGTGTCGGAGGGTACTTAACGCACAATTCAGTTCAACGTGTCCACCGCACTGCAGCATTCTGCAATGAGCTTCAGTCTCATGGTTGGCAGAGCGTGAAGTCAGCCGCGCGGCCACATTGCGGCAGTAGAAAGAGCTAACGAGGCAGGAAAGGACAGCAGGTCGTACGTGCTGGAATTAAAAAACACATTTAACCCCCCCCCCCCCCCTCCAACAAAGTCATCTGTGAAAGAAAGGACAGGGACATTTAAGTGCAGAGAATGCCACCGGCACGACGGAGCCGTGCGAAGCGTGCGCACTGAAGTTCGGGGAGAGGTTTTAAAACAAAACACACAACTCCAAAAGCTTTTTTAGCCGACAGCTGATCGGGTGGCAAGAACATACACTAAGTGCCTCCTCAAGAGAGCGGCTACATTGAGGAGAGATATTTCCAAGATGTATTGTGGGAATAAGTACGTTTATCGGGCATCGTTATGTGCGGTTCGATGTGTTAACCAAGAGCGTTTGTTCTCGGTATAAAATATTCACCGCCCCGCAGAATACGGTGAAACAGAGCGATGCATTTCACGGCGCTTGGCACGCGCTTTTCAGCGGCAATCCGGATATCGGTCAGCCTTGACGCATCGGCGCGCCGTGTTAACTAGCGGGGTGAGCGGTCCCTCTGCGTGCGTGCAAGCAAGCTACAGCTCACACGGGGATTGCCCCATCTCCCTCTGCCCTCTTGGTTAAAGACGTTGCTTGCCCTTCCCAATTGTTATTTCACATCTCACTTGATTGTCTCACTGGCTTTGGCCAATAGGCGGTGTAACACTTCCCCCCCCCCCCCCGTCCGCCAGAGTGGAGAGTTAGCCCGCTTCAGAATGCCACGGGCGTGCTGCCGATTCCGTGACGTTTGGCGCCGCGTGCGGTAAATGTAAATCGTCGGCTGTGTTGCCCACTGCACGGTCACCGGCGCCGAAGAAGCCCGTCAATAGCACTGGTCAACACACTTTTTCTGGCATAAGGTATTCCAACGGTTTTAAGGTAATTTTGGGGTGCTGATTCCAAATCTGGCATCAGTTTTTGTCTATCACATCAGGTTTTGAGATATCAAATATTGCATTTTCAATAAAAACTGCAGAAGAAAAATATTAAATAAATGTGGATATCTACATAAAATTATATTATAAACACACTATCCTAAAAATACAGCACCATATTTTAACACTAAAGCAGTCACTGACTCGCAACAACTTGCAATCATAAGTAACAGAGTTAATTTCGGGTAAAATCAATGAAAATGGGGTATGCCTATAGCATAAAAATGAGATGTGATAGAGCAAATCTGAGATCAGATTTGGAATCAGCACCCTGAAATTAGTCTAAAACAGCTGCAAAAGTCGAGGCCAGAAAAAATGTTTTTTTTTTGTTGACCAGTGTAGTCTAACAAATTCAGCTCTTCGTGTTTTAACGTCAAAAATGAATAGCAACAAAAAATTAAAGAAGAACTCAGGAGGGTTATCTGCCCAGCGTGGATGAGCGAGCGTTTGACAGATCGCTTTCTCGAGCGTGGTGGCTGCTGTTATCAGGCTGCTCTTGCAGTTGGGTGGAGAAGCCTCGGCCATGGGTCGAGACATCATCATTATTATTTTTATAAGCTCGGAGTGATAGCCATCAGGACATTTTATAGAAACAGTGTTCATGTGCAGGATACAGCAAGGGTTACGAGGAGGTTGAAGGATAATGATGCCAACTGACAAATCAGATTCACATGCAAAGTATCGTTTTACGTGTCGTTTAAATGCATATTTCCCTGAACTCCTGACAGAATTGCACTCCATTTGGTACGAAAATAATAACGTTTAGTTTTATACGTAGCGTCTTCGTTCATCCAAATTGCATCTCACAATCGCCGAGGAACCGCACACAAACTAGAAGGCAGCTAGGCAGTGAGCCCGAGACCACAATTTGCCAAAACTCCGCAGTCCTCTATGTATTTGGACATTTCCATCGTCAGCTACATTAGGGTGAAAAGTGACTTTAATAATAATGATCATTTATTTCATTCACGTCAACCTTGGGTAGAGAGATGATAATTCAAACGACCTTTTTTTATGGACTCTCACTTGCTTCCTGAATACACACAACGCATTCAAGCCTATTGACGAGTGTGAGATAAAACCAGACACCTCCACACCCAAGCGAAGGGAGCTTCGCAACGTTTGTGCGATCCACCTACCCTCTCAATGGATCGATCGCAGTCTTGCGCCTCCACCGCCCAACTGGATTTATAGCACGCACAACCAGCAATGTACCAGCCTTGTAAGGTTGAGGGTTCCAGCTTTCCAGATTGGCAATGTTATCTTTCGTTATGATTCGCGCATATTTAAGTCTCGAGATATATAAATATAGAAAGGAGTAGTGGAGAGCACGCTTTGACTGGTTGCCGGTTGTATTTGAACTGGAAAAACATAGTTCTGGCGGCAGCAGCAGCAGCAGCAGGGAGAGGAGTGATTTTGCGAGAGAACGAGAATGATGACGGAATTATAAACGGAGCACACAATCCATACCACTCGTGCAATCACTGCTCACGTAATTTGACTTTTAGTTGATGTTGAGTGAGGATGCTGCTGGTGCTGATGCTGCTGCTGAGGTGTAATGGCCCGCACGCTGGCGTTGCAATCTCGATTCAAATTGATCTTCCGGCGCGACAGTTGATATGATAGTGCAAGTTTTTTTTATATTTTAAATACCCCCCCACCCCACCACACACCCAGCAGTATTAATGGATCCACCATCACAGCAGGTCGTGCCTGATGGAGCAAAATATGGGTGGCATTGTGTTTTAGTAATGAGAAGCCATGCGCTGAAAACCCGGTGACCAGAGTTTCACTCCCGGCCATGAGTGTGGTTCATGCAGACTTGATGCTTTGCAAGAGGTATCTATTTGGTGATTGGGCATCTGAACGCCTGTTTTATTTCCAGAAAGGGTAAAACCTATTCTTCCTTTTTTATACTGGCAAAAAGGTCCCGGAGATAATATTTGCATCGTCCGTTACGTTATGTTGAGAAGTCACTTCGAAGATAATTAACATTTAATGGGTATGGAAATGATCAATCAAATTACCTTTTTTGAAATTCACAGGCTAAATATTTTAACTTACACTGCAGTAACGAAACGAGATTACTTTTGTTAATTAAAACGCCAGCATGAAACATTTATTTCTGTGAAGATCAGCTTTATTTTTATTTATTAATTATTGAGCATCCTAGCCATTTGCTGTCAGGTGCTGTTAAACACAATCTTAATTTAGGAAGGTTTATAAACCTTATAGTCTGAGAAACGCAGAGGCAGAATACAGCAGATGTTGCAACTACAGAAGGAAGTGTATTTCAATGCACTTCTAAATCACTGGACACAAGATTGATGCCGACTGTCTAATGGGATGCTGACTGCATTACCACGCTACCCAGGCACATTTAATTGATTTTTTTTGTTCCAGTGCTGCCAAAATATCCCATCGCTCTTACAGTGCCAAATATGATTGTTTAAAAGGACCTTGCATTGGTTGTTTTCGATTCCATTTTCTCAAGTTGTAAGTCGTGACGGAACTTATTCATCACGTCCTTTCCGAGTTTTCTCCACAATATTGTTAGGGGGAAAATTAACTATTTTGGTTGCGTTATATTTTTGTAAATGCAAGATCCTTTTGAAATGGTGGTCTGTTGAATGCTACGTTGTTGACAATTATTTAACATTATTTTGTTCGTGCTCATATTTCCATTTTTATAAAGTACATTACATTTTGCAATTAGCACAACTTGAAAGTGATAAGAATTAATTATCCACAGAGGGACACTATAATACAAAAATAATGTTAACTTTAATACATTTTGTACTCGTTCAACTGGAACATTACCAACAGGCACAATGACATGTGAATATTTATTTTAACAAGATATCATTCTCTAGAGTAGACCATAATGTGCTAGTGTTTTGCTGTGGTTTATACAATCCGCCTGGTTTTAAGTCTTTAGATGATGATGTCGAGGGTGATGGTGAGTATGATAGTGCTGATTGATAGTGCTGACATTTAGAGAACAGTGGTAACGCTCTTATCCTTGTACGGGATACATTGCACAACTATCAAGGAAACGTTGAGATTTCAATACGGTTTACTCAACTCGTATGTTATTGTTTGATAAGCAAGAACGTTTGTGTCAAAATGGGCGTATTTATTTCAGTTAAGTCTTGACGTTGCAACGGTTATTTCACCAATCTTCTTACGTGACCATGGTAAAGACTGCCCAAACTGGAAAGAGGTTTTAACGATTACGAGTATCCAACCTGATCGGGACATTTGATTTCATAGCATCACTTTGGAACGTGGTCATCCCGCGAGGCCCTGATCGGTGTGAAATGGCGGTCCAGAAGATGTATATTTGAAATAGGTTCATTTTAAAGTAATTTTTATCCATGCCCTATTCTCAGTGGTTATGTTCAATTCATATGCACACTCTGCGAATTCAAACATTTGTATATTTTTACAAACGGTATAAATCGAAAGAACGCGCGCAAAACGCACGCGTCGTCACATCCCATGCGGCGAGGGATCCACAGCTGGGCTCTTCTTAAGGCGTAAACAATGACCGCGTCCGCGTGCGCCGTGCACAATTTTCACGAACCGAGGTTCGCCCGCCCGCACGCGCAAGCACGCGCAAGCACGCCACGCGCCGTCACCGCTCACGCCCGTGTCCCGTGTGCACGCGTGTACGCCGGCAGAACCACGAGTTCGTGGACGAGAAGGTGTTCGAGGACAACTGCCTGGAGGGATCCGTGGGACACCGCACGCCCAGCCGCAGCCCGTCGCTCTCCTCCCACATGCACAGCCTCACGGGCACGTGCTGCTCCCGCCGGGGGAACAAAAAGGCCTTCCGTCTGCCCAACTCCAACATCTCGGGCAGCGGCGTCGGCAGCGCGCAGGAGCTCAACACCATCCAGATCCGCTCGCTGGAGCGAGCCACGCATTTGCCCAACAGGTGAGGGTGCCACTTAGAGGATTGGCCAATTGCCCAGGGGGTGGGGGGGGGTAGAGATGCCCGCTCGGGCGTAGGGAGACGAACATCTGAGCGCAAACCACGGGGCGCGAGCTTCGCCAGCGAGGCGTTAAATCTGACGCTCCCGCCCAGGGAGTTTGTTTAAGTGCAATAATTAACGGTGATTAAATCTGGTGCCACGTGTAATTCACGTAATTCCCTCGGCGGTATCCGTTTATAGCCGAAACTAAAACAAAATCTGCTTAGTAGATTGAGTACCACCGTTTTTGCTCGGTGTTCGTCAAACGGTTGAGCTAAGCATTTCACGCTACGTTTATATTTTTGCCTTGAATTCCTAACATCAACAACAATAATACAAACTTCTTTGCTGAAGTGGGAGAGAAAAAAAAATGTATGTGGTTTTCCCACCTGATGATGATTGCTTGTGTTGCAATCGAAACGTCGTGATTTAATTTATTTTATTTTTTACCTACGTGACTTTACCGAAAGAACCAAAGAGTATGGATCCCTGCAGTAACGAAAACTTCAAATCTAGATTAAAAATAATAAGAGTTACAACTTCTACAGCGTCTTCCATAAAATCTCAAGACGCTTTACATCAATGACCTTTGGGCCATTTGGGTAAGAAGTGGCTGAGTTAAAATAGCAAAGACCTTCTGAAAGAAAGACCTTCTTAGGCTGGGACTTGAAGATTCTCAACTGAGCTGGACTCCCTGGACAGACTTCGCCAGAGTGGTCTAGCTTTGGGGGTGCCTTAATGAAGACATCAAGAGAACACATGCCTTAGCCACCATGCTGGCAACATGTTATCTCCATTGCCTGTCATGCAGGAAGCCGTGGGTTCGATCCCGACCCCTGCATATTTCAGTTTGAATGTTCTCCCCGTGGTCGCGTGTATTTCCTCTGGGTCCCCCAGTTTTTCCCTCCACATTTAGAAACATGCGTTTAGAGTATTTGGCTACTGTTTTAAATTTCCACGTGGTAAGCCACTTCGTTGAGTTATCATTTGTGGCCAGGTTGCTTCTGATAAAGAGCTGTATAGCTCAGTGGGCCTTACCTGGTAAAATAAAAAATATATTTTATCGTGTTTATATATAGGTGTGGTTATGCCTCATGCTTAATAATACCGGCACAGAGCACTGTTAATATTCCCAAACGAAAACCTTGCCCAAGCGAGAGATTAATTGAACATAATTAGAAAAAGTGAGCCAACATTTTTCAGCCTGAACCTTTGTTTCATGCCTGTAAGGTTGCGTTTCAGCTGTCAATCTTAATGTGCCTATCACGTGTTAGCCAGCAGTGTCAACACACAAACTATGCCAAGCAGGCAAAATTATATTGTATGCAATCATGGCCAATGTTAATCAGTCCAGATTATTATTTTTTATTTAAAATAAAGCACAATGAATCGTGATTTCAGGTTCATATTTTGAATTTACATTGTTATTTTTTACGTATCAATTCGTGGGCTGTCAGAACATCCTGTCCACAATTTTTTGGTGAAAAAAATAGACAAAATTGCTAAATTATGTGTCACAGTTGCTGTGACGCATAAGTGGAAATTGCTATTCTGCCAAACATGAATTATGAGGTTTCTCGTAGCATAAATGTGATGTCATGTTTGAGAGAAGCTACCGTGGCGTCATGGGTAGCACACTGGACTTGCAATCCATAAATCGCCAATTTGATCTGGCACGGCAGTTGAATGAAATGGGAAACTCTCAAATCCACCACCTCTCTCCACCCATCAGTAGCAATGGATTCACCTACAGTTAGTTGGTCAACAGGTCATGTGTGTTGTGGTAAAGTGTGCGTACTCCCATCTCCTCTTCCAAGAGCATATGGCCAGTGTGGAAGAGTAGGCCAAATACCATTTAGAGGGGGCTCTATAAAGCTCACTCTCGTGGAAGCCCTTTCACCAGCAAGGGTGAAGAGCAAGGTTTTATCGGTCTGCACGTTCACCATTGATCTTGTTCATGGAGCAATAATAGGACATCACGACCCAGACCCTGAGCCTGAAAGTGGTGGAAATTCCACATTTCCACGTAGGTATGCAATATATCATGAAACTGTCAATTACCCTCGGAGTGTATCATTTTTTCCCCATGGCCAAATGGTGAATGCCATTCCCATTGAGGCAGTTCACAATGCGTTAATAGCCACCGCTGTGAGGCATCGCGGGAGGGCACTGACAATTGTAAAAAAAGGGGTGACGAACACTTTGATTATATTTTCAAGAATGGGACATTATGTTTCAGTGGCATGACAAAAACATTGTCATGACGGGCCGATTTATTTTATGAAAGAACCTGGTATGCAGGGCTAGATATCACTGTAAATAGTATTCATTATAAGCTATCCATAGATATATTTATCAGGAAAATGTTAGAATTATTCCTGAATGTCCAAGGACATAGGTACATCAGTCGATGTAAAGTGCGCAAGTTAAAAAATTATAATGTGTGTGTGTGCATGTACACAGCATAGTGGGGAGCGGTAGTGTAGCGGTTAGCACGCTGCGCTACAAACCCGGCCACCCAAGTTCGATTCCCGCTCACAGCCAATATCGGTGACGATTATCTGAACTGGTCCTGGGCATCCACTAGGTCGACTCAGTCTCAAATGAGTACCTGGTGCGGTGTGTAAACATCGCCACTAGGGAGACAAAGGCGGCCGGGCATGGTGTTGGCCACCCACCCCCTCATGTGCCGTGTCAGCCTTCATAGGCGCTCGCTAACAGCGCTTGCCCCAACAGTCTGTTAAGGCTACAACGGGGGATCTTTGTCTAGGGGAGCATTGTCACAGTGGTTCACACACCCCAAGCTCTGAGTTTGAATCCCTAGCCATGGCTGAAATCAGTGATGAGCGACATCTGAACCGGGCCAGGGGGCCCCCTCTGCTTTCACCAACGCGCGTTGGCCAGCGTAGTCACTGCGGTCGATCAACCCCGTGACCGATTTGGCATTGGGAGGCCTTCATTGAGCAGTGCGTTTTAAGAATGGGCTGAAATTATTTTTAATTGTTATTCTTATTCAGGCATATATGCATTGGAAATGGGAGACTATTAAAATTAAAAAACAGAGGCGTAAGTGTGGCAATATGGTGAGGTGCCAGCTACTACAGTCAAAGTATTATACTGGTAGGAACCTCCTGGTTACACCAGCCCACAGGGGATTATTGTGTCCGTCCGTCCGTCGTGCATCCAAAAATGGGAGCGATGGGGCTGGGTGGAGAGGGGAGGGTGGAGAGCGTCTGGGTGGGGAGGGTGGGGAGGGGTTGGGTGGGGAGGGGCTGGGTGGGGATGATGGGGCTGGGTGATGGTTGGGAGGGGTGGGGCTGGGTGGGGAGGGGAGGATCTGGTCACCCCGTGGTGCCCTTATAAAACTCAACGTTTAACCTACTCACGCCGGCTTGTGCCCGCCCTCACAGTCGGGCATATTTGTGGAATACACCACGCCGCCGTTGACCCTGGCCATTGACTGAGCAACCCAACGTTCCTAGCAGCTCCCTCCGCAGGAGGAATGTGTGTCGGTGGTGTGATAGCCAAGTGATAAATGTTCCTAATGCTTGAGTTTTCTGGAATGTTTCCAAATTCACTGAATGTGGACGCGATTTGGACCAATGCGTAAGCAACTTCTCTTGAGTTGAGAACCATCAGAAGCGATATCCCTGATGTTTCAACCCGTGAGCACAAAATTTGGCCTCAACATTAAACCCTTCATTGCAGTCAATACAATCAATTGCTTTGAAGGGCATCCTTTAGCAAAGGTTACTAAGGGATATTTTATCGCATTGAATCATTTCAGCTTAGTTTAATTGATTCACACATCAAAAATGTTCAAATATCTAAGCCCTCTTATGGCATGGGCTGAGAACTATTATTGTTGCGATTATTATTTTGGCATGTCAATATATAAATGGAAATCGTTGAAAATTTCAACCCTTACAGGAAAAGTGTTAAAGGTGATGTATCTATTTGGATGTTTTGCTCGTGCTTGAAATTTTCATTCATATTTCAGAATATAATGAAAGTGAATTAAAGACCGTGGCTGTGAATATGTTAAGGGTCCTTGAGTTTAGATTCCCAAGGATTACATGCCAGATGTGAAAACCTGCCCGCTAATGTTTATCGTCAATATTTAACCTTCATTTAAATCGGTCAATGAAATCTATTTACTTGTAAGGTCATCCTATACCAGAGGTTACAAAGGGCGATATTATCACATTGCACAATCTCGGGTTAGTTCCGTTTCACATCAAAACATTGACAAATCTATCAGGAAAATGTTGTAAATAAAAGTAATAATTTAATAACGGTTATATGTATTACCATATATCAATAGCCTCCTATATCTGTAACAAAAACAGATCCTACAATGACTTCAGATCTGTCTTAAATATATGAACATTATTCAAATTCTTCAGACTAATAACGAGGGCATTGCCAAACAAGCCACAGAAACCCCGTGGCAATTGAAAACAAAATCTCGAGCTTTCAGGACGTAGTACAGCAGTGGAGCCATCGTTCCATGGGCATCACACTCCACTATGACCTATAACTTCAGTGGAAATCTAACAGCTAAACCGGTTCCGAGACTACCTCTCATTCCCCCCTCACTAATCTGCACACATCAGCGTGGTGAAGTATGGTCAAACAACGCCAATGGCCAACAAGGCATGTGGAGGCGTTCAACCAGCAGTGGGTTCACAGATCTGTACGTTATAATATTTGTACTGCTTCAATTCAGCACTTCAAATGTCGATGTGGCTGGATGGGTTGTGTGGCTAATGCCCATGTCAGTGCACTGAACTGGTGAGTCAATGATCTCAGAGTAATCACCAGTGGCTGCACAAAAAGGAAATCAAATTACATTTGCTTTATTTATTTCGGTTATCGCATTTTAGTGTAGAGGGATTTTAAAAAAATTAGTTTGACTACCAAGCGATGAACACTCTTTACAGGACAGATTAAAATGACAATTGGGCCACTGAGTTGCGGGTAAGGGGCCCATTAACGTGGCTTTGGAAGAATTCTGATATCATTTTCTAAGGTCCATTCTCTTGACATGAGCACTGCCCACTGTGAAAGATAACGGTGCAGCCCTGCAATATCTGCTCGCACAACTTCTGACAGAAGGCTCTCTCATAATATAGGTTTTTGGGTCAGATCGCGTTATTTATAAATGTGTCGTAACCCTCCACCACCCGATATGGCCAAACAGTAAAAAATGTGTCACGTTTTTCAAAGGACAAAATAATTCACTTCCCTCTTCACTACATTTTGGTCGACTTTTTCCACAATGTATGTTTTACTCCGTACGTAGCCAACGGTGTTAATCGGAGGTGCAGGAGAAGGACAGTAACCCCTCCACTTTATCTCACCGCACACGACCTGCCGGTAGCCTGTTGATGTCCCCCACTTATGCTGCTGAGCACACAAAGGTGGGGTGGGGGGGGACTTTAAAAACCTGCCTATCGATTGACTTGCCATGCTGGGAGATCGAAACAGTGACCTCTCAGTGCGAGCTAACAATTACAACCGTGGGAGCATCCTCTTTGATCGATGAGTGCAGAGCCTTGTAATAATTATTTTCGTGATAAAAAGATGCGACATTTGACACGGTTTGCTGAGAGGAAAGGAGGGCGGGACGCGACGTGAACTCCTCCGCCTTCACCTGTCCGCAGGCGCGAGAGTCTCAACGCCAAGCTGGAGGAGACGGCCAAGCTCAACTGCGACCCGTCTCACATGACGACGGCAATCATCAGCATCCCCACGCCGACCACCACGCCCGAAGGAGAGAACCGGCCCCCGTCCCCCGGCGCTGCCCACCACCTCTCCAGCCAGGCCAGCCCCAGCGTCATCAAGATCTCCGCCTTGTGAGGCCACCGATACATAAAGTCGTTCATTTTTCGGGTGGTTTGATTTCTTTTTTTTGGTTGCCTTGCGATGGGCCCTGGAGGAGGAGGAGGAGGAAGAGGCAGAGTGGCGAGGAAGAGGAGGAGGGTGGCTGGGAGGAGGAGGAGGGTGGCTGGAAGCCCCCCGGTGCTCCAGCACGATGCAGAGGGGAGGCCACAGGCGGGTTTTACTGTGCGGAGGGGTCGCGAGCAAGAGCCGACGGGAGGAGGAGCAGGAGGAGGAGAACTCCCGTTCGCAAGCACGGAGACGGTGCGGGGAGCAGAACTACTGTGGCCGGAGGCTCCGTCGGGGTCTGCGCACAGAGAGGAGAAGAGAGTTTCGGTCTGGTTACGGTTTTTTGTGCTGCTGCCGATGCTGTCTCCAGACTGTGTCCGAGAATGGAATATTTATTTAATTTTACGCAGAGAGCACGTGGAAGTAAATATATATATTAGCTGTTTATATTAAGCTTCACGGAATTTTAGTCTTGAGTTTCACAATGTGAATACAATGGAATGAGGCTAGTTTCTCAAGTTTCTTACTGTGTGTGCGCGCGCACAGCTCCCGTGCACCTGTATATTCAGTCATCTGTGCATTTTGTTAGTTTCGTCGTATGCATGATCACTCGTCCGTGCACATTTGAAAGAGGCGCGTTTCTCTCTGAGTGTTTGGAATTCGGTGCAATTCAGGTTTCACTGTTGGAAGGGTTTGAGGAATCGTAACAGTTTTGTGTATATTACACAGATAATGGCCAGCTTTATGCATGTCATCATCAGGACGTTTTGTTGGTAAGCAAGAAAGATTTATATCAGGTACTGCAAAGTTACAGTTACTGTTTTATTTTGATAAAATTTTACCTTTATCCTTGCACATTCTTTGTTCGTGTGTACATTAAGGGAATTGATTGCGGAGGAATTTTTCTGACTTTTCAAGATTGCACCGAAACAACATTTTCACGAGCGGAGGTTTGAGAATGTTGTGTTTTGGGTTTATGATGATGATGATTATTATTTTGAGATGAACACAAACCCAGCTCGGCTTCCTTCATGGTAAGCAAATGGCTTCAGCAACAATTGCTGTTCGAAAATGTGACATCTTTCAACCATCGTATAATATAAACAAGCGGTGGTTCTCTCACCCATGACAATGTTACAAGACATCTTAGTTTTTAATTGTCCAGCCTTGTGTATTTATAACGGATAATGGAAATGCTGTAATTTTATGGACAACACGTATTCCGACACATGCATGGCTTCAAAAAAAGAAATGCTCCAGTGTTATCTTTCCTAGGTAGTAACTTTGTGTTAGTACCATAACCCCCTAACCTTTTACATGTGTTGTTGATGCCAAATATGTTTAAAAAAATTAAAATGTATTTTAAAAAACAGGCATTTTTTTCCATACGGTAGTGCTGCATAGAGTTTAAATGCTTCATTGCAGCATAGCTATTAAAAGGACGGAGGTTAGGTAGAACAGACACCTGCAAAACACGTGCTTGGATTTAATGAAGTTTGGCCACATTATCACTGCAGCGGTTTTGCTGTGACCTGATCAGAAGGGAACCCCACACGGGGATGATGATGGATTCACTGAATACAGGGTAGTGGTATAATACATTCGCATATATGTATATGTTCATGCTGACTTCGGACCAGACACTTCCAAATCACTTTGTTGTTGGAGGTTTATGCAATAATAAAAAAAATCAATAAGTTTAAAAAAATGAAAACATTAAAAAAAACACAAAGCCAGCAGTTTCCGATCACACGCAAGCGTCTAACGGCAGTGGGTTTCTTACCGCAAAAGTTGTTTTTTGAAAGGGAGTGTACAAACGGTTTAGGGCCTTCTGATTTTGAAATGGAATGTACGGTGCATTGCGTTGCGTGGACTAACGCGTTATTGTCGTCGTGAACTTATTTTATCTGTCTACTTGTCTGCTTCGGGTTTCGGAGGTCGTGAAAGTGGCGCGCTGAAGTGACTCGCTTTGGAGGATGGTTTGAGAAGGAAAGAGACAACTAACTATAAGTCCGTACAAAAGAAATGTTTTGCCTGGCTATTTGTTCTTACAGGACCGGGACGTGACATATCTTCTCTAGTTTTTGGTGTGTGAACCTCTAGAATTGCCGTTAGCACATTTGGTGAAATAAACCAACAGACAGTTACTTGCATCGTTCACTGTGTTAGGTCTCACACATGTCTGCGTTGTTATACGTTCTACTTTATTCCAATTGGTTTTGTAAAGATGCACAAATCTGTTATAAAATCGCTTGTGCAACACTGAGCAAATAAAATGAATCTTTGCATGCTTAATATGCATTAAGTGCAATGTATCTAACGCTCATGTCCATCACCATATAGAGTAGATCCTTATTTTTGCGCTCTCTTTGAAAGAAGTTTAATATATCGGACAACATCCATTCTCTTTCTCTGTTAAATAAACTAGTTTTAAGTGGATATGCGCAAGAGAAAACAGTTCAATAAAATTTGTGAATTCATTTAATTGCGCTTCTGATGAGAATCGTTAAGGTTTTGCTGTGTATTTACTCCCAAACGCGACGTCTTAACGTGCAATCTGAACGCTATTTATTCCCTCTCGTGCAGATGGAACGATTGTTTTTTTCTCATGCTCCACCAGAATTAACTTCATATGATTTGAATGTGGTGTGCATATGACTGCCAAACTATGTAGTAAAGCTACTGCTTCGAGACTTCAAACATTGTGTGAGCTACGTCTTGCATCTGAGCACCGGAATATCTGTGAATCTTTATCAAAAGGGCGAGAGACTCCTTTGAGATGGCGTGCACATTGCAATTGTCCTTTTGTTGGCAGTCCCAATGAGCTCGTGGTAGGGTAAAGCCAAGGAATATTGCCAAGCGTGGGTTTATACACAGATAACACTGGTCAACAACAAAACAATTCTGGCTCGGACTTTTGCAGCTGTTTTAGACTAATTTCAGGGTGCTGATTCCAAATCTGATCTCAGATTTGCTCTATCACATCTCATTTTTATGCTATCGGCATACCCCATTTTCATTTATTTTACCCGAAATTAACTCTGTCACTTATGATTGCAAGTTGTTGCGAGTCAGTGACTGCTTTAGTGTTAAAATATGGTGCTGTATTTTTAGGATAGTGTGTTTATAATATAATTTTATGTAGATATCCACATTTATTTAATATTTTTCTTCTGCAGGGCGTGATCTAACAATGGCTATAACATCCGAAAGAAGGAAATGCAGTAATGACCCAGATATCTTCTGCTACATCTGTGGCAGCTTCACTTTGCAGGATCAAAGGCGCAACATCAATACCTATGTCAGGAAGGTTTATCTTGCCTACTTTAAAGAAGACTTGGAGACCAAGACAAACATTTGGGCTCCTCACAAAGTGTGTAAACCTGTGTTGAAACTTTGCGATCATGGTCTAAAGGAAAGAATGCTAAGCTGAAGTTTGGAGAGAACCTACAAACCATTTGGATAACTGCTACTTCTGCCTTGTCAATGTAAAAGGTTTCAATAAGAAAAACAAACAACACTTACAATACCCAGATATCCCATCTGCCAGACGACCAGTTGAGCACTGTGAGGAAATACCTGTGCCTGTATTTACTGAGCTACCAGAGATTGATGTTGAATCCCTCAGCTTACCTGCTTCTACAGATAATGATGATGCTCAGATCGAATATACGCCATCTGATGCAGATTGTGATAAAATGTCTCTGTTTAGTCAGCCTGAATTGAATGATCTTGTAAGAGATTTGTATTTGCCAAAGCAGTCCGCTGAATTGTTGGCTTCCAGGCTGCAAGAGAAAGGACTACTCAGACCTGGCACTAGTGTCTCCTTTAATCGTAACAGAGAAGCAGCACTGCGAAAGTACTTCCATTCAGATGGTCAACTTGTTTATTGGAATGATGTTGAAGGGCTTCTTCTCAATATGGGACTGCCCGCATATGATTCAAGTGAATGGAGACTTTTTATTGACAGTAGTAAAAGGAGTTTGAAATGTGTGTTACTTCACAACAGAAATATATACGGTTCAATCCCAATAGGACACTCTGTAAAAATGAATGAAGAGTATGCCAACATCAAGATTGTTCTGGATAGATTGGGATACCATGTTCATGGATGGCTAATTTGTGTTGATTTGAAAATGGTAAATTTTCTGCTGGGTCAGCAAGGAGGTCACACCAAATACCCTTGTTTCCTGTGCTACTGGGACAGTAGTGCTACATTAGAACACTGGGTTCAAAATAACTGCCCCACCGATAATCAGTTTGACGCCTGGTGACAAGAACATCAAGAATGAGCCTCTGGTTGATAGGAATAAAATTGTATTTCCCGCACTGCACATAAAACTTAGGTTAATGAAGCAATTCGTCAAAGCTCCTGATCACACTGGAGACTGCTTCAGTTATATATGTTCAACCTTTTCAAATCTCAGTGCCGAGAAGAAAAAGGCAGGAATATTTGATGGCCCTCAAATAAGAACACTCATCAGGGATTCACACTTTGTTACAACAATGACTGCGGCAGAGGCTAGAGCTTGGAATGCATTCTTTGATGTGGTGCGGAATTTCCTTGGGAACAGGAAAGCGGACAACTATCGAGAGATTGTGGAGGAGCTGCGCTTGAGTTTCCAAGCACTTGGATGTAGAATGAGCATCAAGGTTCACTACTTACATAGTCACGTGGCCCAGTTTCCAGAGAACATGGGTCACGTGAGCGAAGAGCAAGGTGAACGCTTTCATCAAGACATTCAAGTTATGGAAGAACGTTACCAAGGCCGATGGGACTCAAACATGATGGCAGATTACTGCTGGTCCTTGATGAGAGACATTCCACAAGCTGTACATTGGAGATCGTCAAAGAAGAGGTCGTTAATGCAGATGTAACATCACTATTGTGAATGACCTTTTTGTACATATTTTTCTTATCTTCACAATTCAATTCTTACATGGTAATATGCATTTACTCACATTGATATGCAGTCACTCTCACAACTTTGTGCTACGGCTCATTAAATGTTTGTTTCATTATTATTGTATATTGTATCTTATCTTATTCTTGTATGGATGTCTGTTTAGCTATTCGTATCTGAGCATACATTTGCTGTTTTTATTGAAAATGCAATATTTGATATCTCAAAAACCTGATGTGATAGACAAAAACTGATGCCAGATTTGGAATCAGCACCCCAACATTACATTAGAACCGTTGGAATACCTTATGCCAGAAAAAGTGTGTTGATCAGTGTAATTGTAAATGTAATTACGCACATTACCATTCATGGCGGTGAATGTGGTCCATTCTAAACTCTGCTTCGTTTATGTTGAAATGTGACTAAACATTGATCCCATTGGGTTTCTCTTTTAGTCGATAATTATTTGGAGATGATACAGGTTGGGAATTGGCCAGTCATTATTAGTATATTTGTATCAGGATTTTATATATTGTTGAATTATTATTAGTTATATATTATGTAAATTATGTTTACTATCAAAGTGTAACAAATAGGTGGTAAATGTAACACCAAATACTTCTCAGCCAACCAAAAAATACATTCCTCTTTCAAGAAGGGTTTCCTAAAGCAGCCACAGCTACCATATATCGCCATGATTACGTCCAAACATATAACCAAGACCTTAAACTGTTGTAAATTTTTTAGATCTTTTTTACAGTATATCCCAAGCGCACCCAAATAATATTTTAATCACTGCTCACTACCTGCTAGGAGATATAGTTCAGAAAACACAGTCATGAACAAAAAAAAGAATAAGAGAAATCTGAAAAAGTACGAAGAAAGCGCGGAGAGAGATGCATCCTGGGAATTGCACTGAGAGACCGACGGAGGAAGACTTGTATGAGAGAACACACGCAGGTGAATGACCACATCCCAACTACTCAGGAAAATTAGTGGGCTTGGGCAGGATACGACGTTAGGATGATGCAGCGGTCAAGAATAGTGGTGGAGTGGCAGTCAACTGCATTCGGATGGATGTCCACAGAGAAGATGGGAGTGATCAAGTCAGCTTTGCACTTTTACATCCAGATTGAAAACTTACTTCTTTAGAACTTATTTGTTGTGAATATCTAGATTTGAGGTTTTCTTGACAGCAGGAATCCATACTCTTTGGTTCTTTCGGTAAAGTCACGTGGGTACAAAATAAATGAGATCACGACGTTTCGGTCGCAACACCTGATGATGGGCACTTGCGTCGCGCCCGAAACGTCGTGATCTAATTTATTTTGTACCTACGTGACTTTACCGAAAGAACCAAAGAGTTATTATTTGTTGTGTTTAGTTTGTTGCCCTTCCAACGCACCTCCGATGTGCACGGTTGGCTCCGTGCGAGGCCCCAAAGAGGTTCACCATACAGCTCGTGTGCAGGTGATCGGTCGACTGCTCCATCGCGGGATTGTGAAAGAGGTGTGATGGTGGCTTTGGGAGGCCTTCATCCAGCAGTGGATTGTTCACGGCTGATAATGATAGATCATGCCATGAGGTAAATTCCCTCCCTGCAGAGGAAATATCGCAGGCAGCAGAGACCACATGCGTCGTGTCAAGGAGCGGTTCTGGGAAGGTGACCACCCACCCCCACAACGATGCTCGAACAGCCTTCTGCAGCAATTCTATAGCGCCCATTGCATTATTAAGTTAATACTTGTTGCAAATCATTCGTGCTGTTTATTGCTTCACTGCGGAAGAAAAAAAATTACTCCCTTCCGGGGATTTTATTCACAGTTGCTGAGCAAAGGCCCAGAACGTCAAGCAGCCAGCAACAATCAGCTCTGTCAGAGTTGCAATAGACCGAGCCAGCTTTGTACCATCTAAATACGGTACCATACGAAGTCAATACGAACGAGTTTACAATTTGTGGAGACGGGGGCGGTAATTGATGGATAAGCTGAGAAGCGTGTGAGAATGTTGTTGATTCTTGGCCGTTTGCTGGAATTCAAACCAAGTATATGAGTGGCGTGAGCTTGGTTTGCTGCTAAAATTCTTCTGATGAGGCAAAATAACCGCCTCTGTGCATATGCAGAAACCCGTCAGCATTGCCTGAAGAATTGCATTGTGATTAGTGCCGGATTATCCAAGTAGCAAAGGTAGCAAATGCTACGGTCCCCGCACTTTCAAGGGCCCCGCGCTAAATGCTTTCAAGCTATAAATTCCGATTTAGTGATTCTGCACTTGCTCTATTACTATAGTACTATACCACCTTCAACTTTTATAAACGACTGGGTGTTTAAGGTTAGCGATTTGTCGTATTATCTGGCTGTATAGCAAATGAAAAATTACTTTACTATGCAATTAAAAAATGTATTTTAATATTTGTGTTTTTTTATTTATTTAGGGCCCCTTTATAACATATGCTACAGGCCCCGCACTAGCTTAATCCGGCACTGATTGTGGTCACCTTTAAGTAAGGTCACCGTCAAAATACAATTGACCAAATCTGACCAACAGGCAGCCGTTATACAGTGATAAACATCTGTGGACCCATCAGCACAGTGCAACCACCAATGCTCACCGCCGCAAAGGCTTCAGGAAATGCTGATGGGGTTTTCAGGGCGCTGGTTACACATTTGTGCGGGTTGTTTGCAACTTACACTTTTCCGGGCCTGCACGGCTATTCTGGGTGTTTTCTTTCCCAATTCACTGGTCAACAACAAAGACATTTTTTTCTGGCCTGGACTATTGCAGCTGTTCTAGACTAATTTCAAGGTGCTCATTCCAAATCTGATCTCAGATTTGCTCTAT